GGTGGTGACCCTTGGAGGCTTTCAGAGCAATGCTGGGAGAGCCAGAGGCCCCAGGCTAGGAATGGCCACCAGGGACAGCCCTGGTCATTTACCCCAAGGGCTGTACCAGTTTCAGCCTGTCCTCTGTGAGCCAGGACCTGAGAAGGCCAGGAGCTCTGCCCCAGGTGATGGCAGGACAGCTCCACTCGGGCAGGAACCAGTCCTGACAGTTGGCGTTCTAGAGCATCCACTGGTGCCCGGTATCACTGGGGTCGTGCGGTGTTGTAAAGAGAGAGGACAGTGCTGTGGGGACAGGGGGAGAGGTTCTATCCCCCAACGCCAGCAGAATCCTCGAAGTTCAAGCCTCAGGGTTTGGTGGAGGTTTCTGTGCCAGTCCTACAGAAGGGTTTGCAGAGCTGCTAGGGACCTCACAGGTCATCGTAGTCTTTCAGAGTGCAGACTCCTGTGTAGCCATAAAGAGAAATGAAGCACGAGCACAACATGGGTGAACCTGGAAATCAGTACACTCAAAGAAGCCAGAAGCAAACGTTGACATAATGTAGGATTCCGGGATGGAAGATGTCCCGAATGGCAAACTCATAGACAGATAGCAGGTCAGTGGTGGCCTAGGGGTGGGAGGAATGGGGGGGGCTGGGGTACAGCTCAGGTGTGCAGGGTTTCTTTCGGAGGTGATGAAAATGTCCTAAAATTGATTGTACAACTCTGAATACACCAAAAGCCACTGATTTAACACTTGAAATGGGCGAGCTGAATGGTATGTGAATTATAGCTCAATAATAATAATTTAAAAAGCTCAGTTACGAAAAAGGGAGTGTAGGCTGCAGGGTCAGATGGCCTGGGTTCACATCCTGACCCCACCCCTTCCTAACTGGGCAACCATGGGCAAGTCACTTAACCTCCTGCCTGAATTTGCTCCCTGCAAAATGAAGGTGATGCAGCCCCTGTTTTGGCAGGTTGGCGTGAGTCCGTCCGTGTGACTGTCGGGGCAGCGCCTGACCACGATGGGCGTCTGCTCTGATGAGTTCAGCCCTCTGTTTAATGTGGTGGAAGACGGAAGCCCCGAGAGGTTAAATGACGGGCCCCGGGTCACTGTCGTAACAGCCTCCAAATTATATGTCCCAAGTCCTCATCCCTGGAACCTCTGAATGTGACCGTATTTGGAAAAAGGGTCTTTGAGGATATAATTAAGGTAAGGATCTTGAGCCTCAGAGGTTTATCCAGATGGGCCCCACATCCAATGACAAGTCCTTGTAAGAGACCCAGGGGACAAGACAGACATAGAGGAGGAGGCCATGTGGGGACAGGGCAGCCACCAGCCGGGAGGGACTCCCAGGGCCACTGGCAGCTGGAAAGGGGAAGGAACTGATTCTCCCCCAGCGCCTGCCGTGGGAGCACAGCCCTGCCGACACCTTGGTTTTGGCCTCTGGCCTCCAGAACTGTGACAGGACACATTTCTGGCCATCTGGCACGGCAGCCCCGGGAGCTTGAACAGTGACCCAGCCCGCAGTATCAGGGTGAGGACTCGCGACTCCGCTTATCACTCGGGACCCCTTGGTGGCATTTATCGGTGGGTAAAAAAAAACCAGCTTCAATCCCAGATACCGTGAGGGTTCTGGAAGCAGTTTCTGTGATCTTCAGATGAGGCACGGAGGCCCCACTGTCCCCTCGCCCATGCTGCAACCCATCAACAAGGAGGGAGGCGAGGCTGGAGCGCGTGAGCCCCGCTGTCTCCTTCGGGGCACACCGGCTCGTTAGATTTACCAGCCCCTGCCTGAAAAAGTATTTAATTTGCCTTTTACAATGCACCAATTGCAAGTTAATTAACTGGCAATTGAAAGTTATAGGTGACGTTAGAATTTATTAATAACATTGGAAATAAATCTCCGTGGAATTCAAGTAATTGAAAATCTCATGAAATTCTCTTTTTCATCATCCATAAAACAGGGCTGGGAGAGAGGTGTTCCAGAAACCTCAGGGGGTGGTTGGGATTGCAGGTGTGGGATAATTGGGTGGGAGGGGACTGCTGTTCTGACCTGGGCCCATCTCAGATGCCCGCCTGCCCTCCTGTGCACCACTTCGGTCACTTCTCCTAGGGTCTCAGAAGGAGTCTTTCTCCCTTCGGGAATGTCCTGTGATTCACTGCGGTGATCAGAGTGGGGCACTGGGGACACAGAGGTGACCCTGCCCACCAGAAGGTCATAGCCTGGTGGGATAGACAGAGCCGCGAGGGCTGGGGCTGGGGCCCAGGGCCAGAGTCAGCAGTTCCTGCCCATCTGTGCCCATGTGTACACACACACATACCAGGGGCTGGAGCCTGTCAGTGTTGGAGAAGAAATGTCGGGTTTGATTTAGACACAGGAGAGAGGCGTGTGCAGGAAGCAGTGCCCCGAGGATGGGCGGAGAGCAGACAGACTTAGGGAGCCCCCAGGGGGGTTGGGCTGAGATGAGGGGGTGAGCCCGTGTTAATGCTCCCTCATTAACCCTCTGGGTGGCCTGCGGGGGTGGGAGCTCCCTTCCCTGCCTCTCTTCCTGCACTGGGCTGATGATGCTCATGAGTCCTTCCCCCGGGGGGCTGGGGGCAGAGGGGCAGTTGCAGGTCCTGGAGGCCCCGAAATGGCACCCTGAGGGGGGGACCTCTGGGTGGCTTGCCTCTCCTTTCTGAGTCACCACTGGGACCTGCAAGCGGAGTGTAGAGGTGCAGGCTGGAGTTTCCACCCATGAGCACAAAGACACAATACGAGACAGAAGCGAGGGCCGGAACGGCCCAACTGGTCTCATTGGGCTGCAGGAGTCAGAGGAGGGGATGCGTCTGAGGATTTTGTCCAAAGCCGAGAGCCGAGATCTGAGAGCCGTGCTGCCCCTGGGGCTCTCAGTGCGAGACCACGCCCCCTCCGACCTGTCCCCCCCCCCCCTGTCCTGCAAGCACCCGGGGCCCCCACGTGGCTGGGGAGCCAGCACCCACAGGCCAGACAGAGACGAGGCCAGCCAAGGAGAGAAGCTCCAGCCCGTTGCCGGGCTGCTGCCGCAGTACTTGCCACCTGCAGCAGGGAGGATGGGACCCTGGCGACAGGGCCAGGTTGCAGAGCCTCGGCTCAGGGTGGGGAACAGGGCAGCCACTGCAGATCCCTGAGCAGGGGGGCAGCGCGGGCAGGCCTGCGTTTCAGTGGGAGCCCTCTCTGGGCCAGATGGAGGGAAGGGGCCAGACTGACCGTGAGAACCTGCTGTAGCAGCCGGTCCCCTGTGGGCCAGCTTCCTTCCCCTCCAGCATTCGAGGTCCTCCCAGATCTGGCACGCGGCAGCCGCTTCGGTCCTCCCGTGAGCGTTCCTTCTGTCCCCCGCCCCGAATCTGTCCCGCTCCTCGGCCGCACCGGCCTTTGCTCACACTTGGCCCTCCTGGCAGTGCCATGCCTTGGGCTCCCGGTTTATGTGCACGCCGTCTGCCTCCAGGAGCCACAGCAGCCAAAAGCCCGGCCTCCCCAAGTCTCAGACCTGTCCTGAAACCCTGCCGGCTGTGTGACCTTGAGCGAGCCGCTTAACCTCTCTGGGACTTCACGGGCCCTCCACAAAACGGGGAAGGTGGTTCTGACGCTAAAGGGACGTGACCTACGCCCCATGTTTGGTGCAGTGCCCAGCCTCATCCTTATGAAGGACTGGCTCGTGACCACCTCCCCCAGGAGACCCCGTCCCCCAGCCCTGGCCCTCGGGGACTGGGGCCTCCCACCTGGAGCTGCTTCCCTCCCACACTCCCTTTCACTCCCAGCGACCTGGGAGAGCCTGCGCATCCGGTCCTGCCCCAGTGCTGGGGGCTCACTCCAGACTGCTAGCCTAGTCCCCCCGGGCCTGCCCCAGACGGTTGCACGATCCAGGGCCAGGGGACAAACGAAGGTGTCCCATGTATCTAAATATTGAAAAGTTACATGTTGAGTTAACCAACTTAAAATATGCTCTATGCTCTATGCTCCTACTTTGACAAATATCCTTTACAAGGACTGGGAAGGCCGGGCTGACTTCAGAATTCTGACCTCTCAGGGCTCTGCCCTAGAATGGGATGGCCCCGGGGGTGCCTGCCCCTGGTCCTCGGAAGCCCCCCCTCCCTGCTAGCTGCTGTCCTGGGCCGAGGGGCCTTAGGCGCACGTGTGGACACCCACCCTGCGGGTCCACGCTCCGTCCACACCAGCCCAAAGTGACAGCTCCCTGGTCTAAGAATGCAGATGCCAACAGGGAAGCGGCCTGCCCTTGAGACGTGCAGGGGGAGAGGCCCACACGGGAGCCTGAGCTGAGGGCCACGGGACAGCACATTTCGGTGTCCTGGGCAAAGCAGATAGTCTCGCACGGCTTCTCCACCGCGGGTCTGGGAGAAGGAGATGCCTTCTGACCCGCTTCCCTGAGCGGTGGATGGCTTGTCAGAGGGCGTGCAGTCCTGCGGGAGCCCCAGGGGCTGCCCCGTTCCCTGGCTGAGGCTTCAGCCAACACAGGGGGTTGCTCAGGGCCAGGCGTGGGGGGGCCCAGTGAGGTGAGAGGGTGGCCTATAGAAAGAAAAAGGGGCTCAGCCCTCCAGGGGAGGCGCTCACAGCCCTGCCTGGCCCGGCCTCCCGCACCTGTGTGTACGCTCTGGGCACAAGGGGGCCTTGTACAAGGGGATCCCCCATGAGCCGCCCTCCTCCGCCCCTCCAAGCCTTTGCTGAGGCGTCCCCGCTGCCTCCAGTGCTCTTTCCTGTTTAGCCGACTCCCGCTGACCCCTGAAGGCCCTTTCCTCCTCCACGGCCCCTCGGCTGGCCCCCGACAGATTAGGTGTCCCCCTGCTGGGTTGCGGTGGCCCACAGCCGTGTCCCGTGCTCCGTGCGTGGCACCGTCCTCACATCGGACAACACCGTCCCTAGATGGGAACCTTCCAGGGACGGCCTCCCTCAGTACCTGCGTCTCCGTGGCCAGGAGCCCGGCTCCCAGGCCCCCCCCCCAGCAGCACGGCAAGACACCAGAGCCCTGGGAGGGGGGGGACAGCACCTTTATTGTCAGAGAATTGCAGACTTCCCGCCCGCCTCTGACTGCCGCACCTCGGCCCCCAGGCAGGGGGAGGTGGCCGGGGCCTGACCACAACCTCCCGGGAGCACCAAGGACGCTGGGGACAGACGGCTCCTGCCCTGAGAGGAGACACCACTCGGGGTGGCACCCAAACCTCCGAGTCAGCGGCTGAGACTGGGTCCTGGCCCAGCAAGAGAGGAGCACCAGGGCCGGTCCGGGTCACAGGGGACCCATGGCCGGAGAGGCCTTGAGGGCCGTGGTCTGAGCTGCTCTGGGATCCCCGGCCCCGGGCGTCTGCTGTGGAGCCTGCCGCCTGGGCCCACGGCCCTGAGGGGGGCAGCGTCTCTCCCGACGGGGCCCGGGACTCGGGCAATGTCCTGTCTCTAGGTGGTCAAGGGGACGCGGGACTTGCCGTATGCTGCAGAAATGGCCGACCCTAGAGATTCCCGGAGAGGGCAGAGCTGCTGTCCCAGGAAATACTCCCTCCTCTGGGCTCAGGGGCAGGAGGGCCCTGCTGGGCTGGGTGGGTTGAGGCTGGGAGGCAGCGGTGGGCGGTGCCGGTTTGGTTGGAAGGGCCCTGCACCCCAGGGCCCCTCTCTCACTATCCCCAAGTCCGTGGGAGCGTCCCGGGTTTATTCAGGGTCTCCCTGGTGCTGCCAGACCCTGGAGCAGACCCCAAGCCCAGGGTCGGGGGTTGAGGAAGGAGGCCCAGGACCCTGCCTTCCTTCCCTGCTGGCTGGTCCAGCCCCCTTCCCCTCCAGCCCTGCGCCCACCCTGAGTTTCTCCGTGCAGACAGGAACCTGGCACGGTCTAGGGTTAAGGAACCGGGAGGCCGGGGTTCAAATCCTGCCCCAGCTGTCCCTGGTCCCGTGGCCTCGGCAGGTTATTTATACTCGCCGGGCCTCCATCCTCCCGTGGAAAGTGGGGATATCAAGCCTACCTCCTAAGGTTAAATGAGACGGTGCAGGGAAAGCTCCTTGGACAGGCCCAGACTCAGTAAATGATGAATATTAGGATTATTCTCAGGCCCTGCCCAGCCCACCCAGCTCCTGTCTCCTGCAGAAAGTGAGGGTGGGGAGGGCAGGGACCAGCAAAGGGCCCTGCCAAGGGTGCTGGGGCCCTCTGGACCCTGCCTCTGGAGCTGCCATCTGTCCCCAAGTCCCCCCAGGCCCTGGGGGCCGGTGTCCCTCATGATCGTCGGTGTCCGGAGCCCAGGCCCACTTGGGGTGTCTAGGAGCCAGCCGGGCGACACAGGCCTCTGGGCTGGCTCTCTGGCCGGGCTGGGGCTTGTCCTGAAGAGCTGGCCTCTCACTTGCCGCCACCGGCCTGGCCAGCCCTCCTCTGCCCGGGGTCGGGGCCGAGCAGGGCAGCGAGCGCACCGTCAGGCGGGGAGCCACCACGCTTCATCTTCAGGTTGGCTCTCAGGGCAGCATCTTGGCCAGAGCCCCCCTCGGGGGAGGCCAGGGGATCTGGAAGGACAGCAGGAGGGTGGGCTCATGCAGGGCGTCGGGAGCACTCAAAGGCCCCCTTTGCTTCTGGTGCCCAACCAGCGAGGAAGCCAAGTGCCCAGCGAGGACAGGGCAAGACAGCAGCAGGCCCCCTGGTCACGCGGGCACCCACCCCCTCAGGCGTCCGCCCGCTCACCCTGGACCAGGGCTGCCCGGGGCTGGGCTCCAGGCCCTGCAGGGCTGCCGGTCCCCACCTGCCGCAAGGGCCTCCCACCCCATCAGGGAGCACAAGGCTCTGCAGAGCACCGTGGGGCAAGAGGAGCGTGCCTTGACAGAAGGAGAGACCCTAGAGCAGGTCCCGAAGTGGGAGCTGGTGGTCAGCCGGCGGAGGGACTGGCCTGAGCAAAGGCATGGAGGTGGGGGCAGGTGGGGGGAGGGCCCGGGGGGACTAGGTGGTGGTTCCAAGTCACTGGGCCCCAGGCCATGCTGGGCAGGGACTTGGGACTGGAGGTGCCTGGACATCGGTCGCGGGCAGTAAGGAGCCACGGAGGGTCCTTGAGCAGGGGAGGCACAGGCTAGGGTCCACCTTGGGTTTGGGGAAGGCCATCTGGCAGCCAAGTGGAGGTGTTGTCGAGGCAGGCACACCAGAAGGCGGCATGGAATGGGGAGGCGGGGGCAGCGGGGCTTCCAAACTCCACGGCCAGCTGCAGGTCCGGCTGGCTCCAGGCCCCGGTCGCAACTCACCATGGATCCCAATCATGTGCTCCAGGATGAGGACTCTCTCTGCCAGGATCTTCAGGGCCTCCCGCAGCTGCTGTACCCCCTCACCCTAGCGGGGAGGAAGCAGCCAGGGTCAGGGCCGGCCACAGAGACGGGCCACGTCGTCCCCTCCCTCCCCGCTCCTGCCTCCTCCCCCTTTGTCCCCATCCTCTCAGTACAACAGCCGTCCCAACTTGGATATCCACGTGCCAGGCCTGGGGTTTGAATTCTTGTTTGCAGACAAGAAAACTGCTGCACAGAGAGGGTAACCAGGGTTCTGTGGCCACACAGCCTGGCTTCACACCCAGACCCATCCCCCTCACGCTTTGGTTTTTCCTGCTCCGGGGGCTGCCCGGCTGCTTCCCCTGGGCGCCCTTCTTTCCGGAAAATGCCCTGTGAAGGGCAGAGCACCTAGTATGGGTGGGGGTGCTTCGCTGGTCTCCTGAGAGCTCTCCATGTGTGGCCACCCCAGCAAGAGGGAGAGAAGGGAGAGCCGCTGCTCCTGGAACGTCAGCACGAGGGCACGGTGAGGACAGGCCGTTTCTGGGGACCCAGCCTACACACGGGCAGAGGACCCTGGGCACCGAGACCCGTCAGTGAGCTGATTTATTGAGAAGACAGGTGTCAAGGCCACTTGGAAAAGGCCAGTGATGGTGAGGGGCTCAGGCCCCACGCTGAAGTCAGTCCCAGAACAGCGCCTCTTGCAGGCATAACACGACAGCTCTGTCCTGACGTTCAGATCGATCGAGTTTAAAACAACACAAAGGGATGGGGCACCCGGGTGGCTCGACGGTGAAGCGTCCGACTCGATCTCAGAGCAGGTCTTGATCTCGGGGTCGTGAGTTCAAGCCCTGAGTTGGGCTCCATGCTAGGCATGGAGCCAACTTATAAAAAAGCAAAATAAAAAAACGAAAGGAGAGCAAAAAGTGACCTGTAGGTTAAGGAGAGAGGTCTTCCCCCCACCCCAGCGAACCAAAGGCCATGAGAAGCCACACTGGTGGCAGTGTCCGGGATGGGGGTCCAGGGCCCCAGCTAAGCCCCATGCCCCTGAGCCACGGGATGCACGCTTACAGAAAGCAAAAGGAGAAGTCCTAAGTACTGTTTCCGTCTTCCCTTGCAAGTCTGCGAATCTCCCTGCGAATCTGTGCCCATGCTTTGTACCTACATCTTCCTCCCGCTGCCTCCTGGGCCCACCACAGAGGCTCTGGCTCCAGCCTCCCCCCTCCATCCCAGCCCACCTCCCCAGTTACCCCCAGGCTGGCTCATTAGAGAACCCTAGATGCCCACTCTGCTGGCCGCCCCCCGAGCTCTGACACACCCAGGGGATTCTAGCTCTCAGCCTGCAAGGTCTCCCCCGCCGGCCCCACTGCCCTCACCCCCTTTATCCATCACCCCAGTCTCCAGCACCCCTCCTCCTCCCAGAAGACAGCAGGTCCCCACGGTCATGCGCGTGCTCCATCTGTGTCCCCTCCTGGCCCCATCGTGCCCTGGCCCCTGCCTGCTCCCATTCACTCCCCCACTGTCCCCTCCCACATCCACCAGCCCTCTGTCCACCTGCCCACGTATCCTTCAGTCCACCAGCGCTGTGTCCCTGGGGGCACCGCCGTGCACCAGGCGCCGCGCATGGGGGATTCCTGTCCCCGGAGAGGGACTCCACAGCCTGCAGCCTCCTTAAATAAGGGGTTCTCCCCGGCAGGGTCCCCCCTCTCCTCCGGCCCCGGGCCAGTGCCCCATCTGCACACTATGCTGCAAGCATTACGTCACTCATCGGCCTCCCCCACTGGGCGGGGACCCCCTTCACCCCGTGGCCCAGAGCCCTGTGCCCCGTCCCTCCCACCGGGACGCAACCGAGGGGGCAGGAGAGGAGCACGGCCCCCAAGACCAGTTACCTCTGCAGCAGCTTTGTCCTCCTCTTGCCCCTTCCCGCCAGGCTCGCCCTAGGAAGAAAACTGCTCAGTCAACCACTGGTGTGTGGGGGGGGCGCCTCTCTACCCTCTCCAGCTTCTCGCGCAGGCCATGGGGGGCTGGCAGGAAGTTAGGGCAGGCTGGGCAGGCAGAGCCTGGGGACAGGGGTGCTGGGGCCCAGAGCCTGACAGCTGCACCCATGGGAACTCCTGCCCTGGGGAGAGCAGAGCGGGGGAGCGCCCAAGGCCACAGGCATCCCTGCTCAGCCCGGCATGGGTTGGCTTGGGGGCTTCACTGGGCTTCAGGTTTGAAACCCCGCAAGCTCAGGTCTCAGCTCTGCCAGGAATCAAGTCCCCGCTTCTCTCTGCCTCCACCCCTAAAACAAGGCCAGTAATATCGGCCTCACAATAACACCCACGTGATATGCAATGTGACTTGGAGCAAGTTACTTGACCTCTCTGTGCCTCCGTGCTTTCCTCTCTAAAACGGGGTAATACTGCCTACCTCCTGGGAGTATTCAGATTAAATAAATCAATACTGATAATGAGCTTTGATTGGAGCCTGGTGCCCGAAGTTCGGGGACAGGACTCACCACTGTAACCAGAGAGAAGCCAGGAGGAGGCGTGGTATGAAGCTAACACTCCTGGGTTTAAATCTTGTCTCCATCATTGCCTCACTGTGCAACCTTGGGCAAGTTACTTTAACCTCTCTGAGCCTTAGCTGCCAGTTCTCAAAAAAAAAAAAAAAAAAAAAATGGGGAAAATAAAGTCCTGCCTTGCTGGGTCACCACAAAGCTTAAACTCACCATGGATGAAGAGCGCCTCCCCTCCCAGCACACAGGTGCTCAGCAAAGCTCCATCCCTCCTCCCTGGCTCTCTGCCCCTAACTTTAGACGGGGGCACAGAGGAGGTGCCTGCCTCCTTGGCCCTGCAGGCGGGAGTGGAGACTCATAAATTCTTGTTTCCAAGGAGGGAAATTGAGGCCAGCTGTCTGCGCCCTTACTCCTGGAAGGTTCAGAGGAGGGAGGGGCTCCTAGCTTGTTAAAGGCCACATAGCTTGTTAACCTAGGGGTCTGGGCTCCCCGGAAGAGACCTGAGGACGCTCATCCAACCCTCTACCAGGAGGCTACTTCAGTTCTTGCTCACACTCCCAGTGAGGGGCTCCCCATTTTCCAAGGGCACCCCTTCCCAGCTCGGGCAGCTGGAGTCACAGGCAGGCGGCCCCTTCTCTGGGCAGGGTGGAATCAGGCCATGTTCGGGGTGGCTGTGGGGCTGAGCTCAGGCCAGGCCGGGACAGACCCCCCACCACCCACCTGGTGCCCTGGGCCTGCATCAGAGCCCACCACCCTGGGAACAGCCCAGTGGCACAGCCCCCCACTTACAGCCGGTCCCGTCATGCCCCGCTCTCCGGCCAGGCCCTGTAGAAAGGCAGACAAAGCAGATGAGTCCTTGCCTGCCCCCCCTAATACCTCCGGCTTCCCCTTAGCAGCCCCTGCCCCAGGCCGGGAGGACGATGGCTTGGAGATGGGAAGGCCCCTCCTGGGCCACCCTCCACTGGCTCCTCCCTGAGCCCCAGCGGGGCCCTCGGTCTTCTCAGCTGAGAAATGGGCTGTTGTGGGTGTCACACAGATGGCAAAGCCCGCAGGCCCCCCCGCACGCAGAGGGAGCCCCCCCAGAGAACAAGTGACAGGGTCCCACTCGAGGCCTCCCGTCCATGTTGATATCCAGCAGGAAGGCTCCCCAGAGCCCAAACCCATGCGTCCAGCTGCCCTCCCTTTTCTCCACCTGCCCACAGGGGGGCGCCCCACTCCACCTCCCCCAAGTGGAACCCTGGGTGCCCCCCAAACCCACCGCACTCTGCAGCCACCTCCTAGGGAGATGGCTCCCCGTCCTCCCAGCTGCTCCCACGCACGCCCGGGAGCTAACCTTCCTTTCCCTCTCTTGCCAAATCTGTTCCATGCACCAGACCTGTCACCTCCACTTTCTAAACACGTCCGTTCCCCTGGCCGCTTCCGGTGCCACCACCTGAATGCAGGTCACCTTCTCTCTCCCCGCACGCTTCCGTGGGTCTCCTCCCTGGACTCCCTGCCCCACTGCTCCCCACCTTCCGCTGCCGGACCACAGCCACAGCCCGAGGGGCCTCTTAAAGATGTCAATCACATCACGGGGTCTCGCTCCCTGAGACTCAGAGTCCCCTTTCCCTGTGACAGAAACCCACACTCCCACAAGCCTTCTCTCAGAGGGTGCCCCTGGGGTGCCTGGCTCTGGGGGGCCTGGACTCCCCGTTTACCTGGCCTGTCGTACCTGAGTCAGGAACAGATCGGGCCTGAGGGCCTCCTGCCACCTCTGCAGCCCCAGGCCCCCCAGCCCCCAGGCCCTGCCCACCAGCCGGCTCTGGGCCCCTATGCTCCCGGCCAGAGCTCCTGGCCACCCCTCCCCGCGGCCAGTGTGCCCGCCTGCCCCCTCCATGCTGCATCCTCCCGGACGTAAAAATCCCCAGCGGGGACAACAGGGAGCAGAGCGGGAATCAGGGGACACTGGTTCTGAATGAATATAAACTCTACCAGGCTGCATTGTGGCCCCCCGGGCCTGGCTGTACCCTCAGCTCGGGCTGTTGGCACCCTGGCTGTTTGGGGTGTGTGGACTCCTAAGGTCCCAGCACTCACAGAGCCAAGGCCCAGACTCCCATCCCTTGCGGCATGGGGGTCACCACTAGGCACCCCCTCCCCGCCCAGCTGAGCCTGAGCTCCAGGGACAGCGGGGCGCTAGGGCTGGGCGGGCCCTAAGGTGGGGGCTGCAGGAAGCCCCACCAGCAGGATACCCACCCCTTCTGCCTCCGGGCTGCCCCTCCCCGGGGTGATTTCTTCCCAGGCCCTGGGCTTCTGCAGCACAAAGCCCTTCCCCTCCCAGCACTTTTTTTTTCCTCCTTTTTCCCTCTAACAAGCCACAGGGGAAGCCTTGTATCCCCGCTCAGCAGCAAAGGTGGCCGGAGCCCAGAGAGGCTGTCTCTTCACCCAAGGTCACACAGCTGGAGAAGCAGAGCAAGCTGGGGCTCAGGGCCATGTCGCCAGGCTTTGGGGCGCTCTCTCCCACACAGGCGACTCTCAGGGAGGAGGGCGGCAGGCTGGGGTGGACATTCTGTGACCTGTATGTCCTCCAGAGGCACCTGGCCTCTCTGGGTCCCGTTAGCTCATCTCTGAGATGGGAAGCGTGCCAACACGTCCCCGGCATGGGGGGTGGGCAGCCAAGGGCCGCCCCTTCCTCAGCAACTCAGGCTGGGAAGAAGCCTGGCTCTTCTTTCTCGGAAGACAATGCCCCCTCCCCTTTGGGCAAGTCCTTACCTGGGATCCAGGGACACCTGGGGGTCCTGGGGGACCATGTGGTCCAGGGGGACCTGTGGGCAGAGTCACAGATGGTCACCCGGGGCCAGCCCCCTGCCCACCCCATATTGCAACCTGCTCTTCCCTCAGAGCCTCATCTGTGGGGTCACCCCACACTCCCCCAACCCCCTAGCCAGCCGCTCTCCCAGCAAATCTCTCTCAGGCCTGCCCCTCCTCTGGACCTAGGACCCTACCCCTCCAAGGCCACCCTTCTTGCCTGAGTTACTACAACAGCGTCCTGACCATCCATGCTCCACATGGCCACCCAGAGCCACCTTCCGGTTAGGTCCCTCCGGGGGTTCCTGAAGTCCTCAGCCCGGCCCCCTCCACCCTCATGCCCCCAGCTACTCTCCTGGAAAGCTCCTTGGCTTCTACGCTTCTGCAGATGCTGTTCCTTCCTCCTGGAGCTTCTCCATCCCCCCCACGGCCCAGCAAATTCTTTCCTACTGGTCTTTCCTCTAGTCTCAGGCTGAGCATCACCTCCTCCAGGAAGCCTTCTGCCACCTACCCCCACCCCTCCTCCAGGCCAGTCCCCGACAGGGACCAGCCTCCACCCATGGCCATGGTGGATTTACAGGTCCATCCCTGGGGGCCAGGGAGCACCCAGAGGGTCGGGCTGAGTCTGGTGGGTGCGGCACAGGGAGCAGTGTTCCTGCTTGAACTTTCCACACTCTTGGGACAGTGAGGCCTCTGGGAGTCCCCTGCTGGGCTGTACCCATGCTGGGGGAGGACCTGCAGGAAGTGCCCCGCCCCCAGGTGGGCACAGATCTGGACTCTGTCTAGTTAAATACGCCCTCCCTCCGGTCAGAGTGCATGCCCTCCCCAGATACCCTTGGAGCACCTTCCCTCTCCTCCCTGGGGCATTTGCTCAAATGCCACCTTTTTTAAAAGAGGCCAGGAAACTAGACCCCTGCCCCAAGTAGGGAGGGCTCAGTGACTACGTGAAAGGGTAAATGAATGATGGGGGGACGGGGCACCCACACACTTGGCAAGCAGGGCTGGCCCCTGCCCCGCACGCCCCTTCCCTCCCGTCCAGTGAGGGTCCCCGGAGGGTGGGGGTCAGGCCAGGCCCAGGATCCAGCCCCTTAGAGCCCCAGGGCCATCCCCTGCCCCCAGTGCCCCTGGTTCCTGCCAAAAGGCCCAGGGCATCCTGACTCTCATAGGCACCTGCCCTACCAGCTCCTGGGGCCAGCCCTGTGCTGACCCCCTGCCTCCCCCTGGGCCTGGGCCTCCACATACCCCGGCGCAACCCCCACTCGGGCCCACATGGGGGCAGCCCTGAGCTGCCTCATGCGGGCAGCAGGCAGAAACACTTGGGGTTCCTGTGTCCAGTCCCACAAAGGAGTTGCCCCCCAGAAGCAAGGGAACTCGCCCAATCCCTGGCACCCTGCCAAGGCCATGCGCCCCCAACCGGCCCCACGAGGCCCGTTGGCCCAGGCCAAGCCCAGAGGGGGTGCCCAAGCCGGGCCAGGCTGTGCAGCTGCCCTCTGCACTTACCTGGAGGGCCAGGGGGGCCCCGGGGCCCTGGGACGCCGGCCAGCACTGTGTCCACGGCTGCAGAGGCCGGCTGTGAGTCTCCGTCTGTGGGCAGAGCAGAGCTGCCTGTGACCCGGTGGGGCAGGGCTGGGCTGCTGGACCTGAGCTCCCCCAGGGCCAGGACAGGCACCCCCGACTCCACTGGGCCTCACAGCTGCCCTGGCAAGCAGATGCTATTCCTCCCACGGAGGCCTGGTCATAGGGTTGGGTGACATCCCGGGCACCATGGGGGTTGCGCCAGGGTACGTGGAGGCCCAGGCCCAGGGGGAGGCAGGGGGTCAGCACAAGGCTGGCCCCAGGAGCTGGTAGGGCAGGTGCCTATGAGAGTCAGGATGCCCTGGGCCTTTTGGCAGAAACCAGGGGCACTGGGGGCAGGGGATGGTCCTGGGGCTCATACAATACACAAACTCCTTCCAGAGCATTCTAGGCCCTTCAGAGTCTGGCCCTGCCCTACTCACCTCCCCAGTGCCCCAGGCCAGAACTCTCCTCCACCCCACTCCACTCCACAGGCCCTTTCTTGATGTACCTGACAGGCTCCCGCGGGGCCTCCTCCAGGAATCCCTCTCTGCCTACCCTTTTGAGCTGCAGGGCCTTGGGCTGCCACTACAGGGCCCATTACTCAGCCTGGGGCAGGGGTGGGGTCTGTTTGTGGCCCAGCTCCTGCGATTTGGGTCTCTCCAGGGCAAGCCCCATGTGACTTTGTCCTGCCCGGTCCCCAGAGCCTGACCCAGAGAAGCCAGGCCCAAGAAATGCCTGGGATAGGAGTGGCTACCCCTGCCCTTTCCCCCACACCTGGAAGCCTGAACCACAGGTTCACAGCGGGCGGGGCCCCACTGGGGCATCCCCACTCCTCCCAAAGCGCACACCCGGCCCTCCCTTGGGGACCCCAGGGCCGGGGGGTAAGGAGGGTCCCATCTGAGGAGGGCTCTGAGCACTCCAGACGGCAGGCAGTGCCCGAGGCATCATGCCCAGACCAGGGCAGGCTGGAGCCCTGGGACAGCTCCTTGCGGCCCCGGGGGTGTGCGGCGGAGCCCTGTTTGTCTCTCTGAGTCTTCAGTGAGCTCCCACTTGCTCCAGAAGGCTCTGCTCTCGCCTGAGGGCAGCCCAGGACCCCCATTCTGCTCAAGAATGAGCCCTTCCCATCCTCCAGAGCAACTCCACTGGGGAGTATTAACTGCCCCCACTCTACAGGTGGGGAAACTGAGGCTCAGACGGGGACAGAAGCACCAGCAGGAGGGGGCTAGGGTTTCTCTGACCCAAAGAGGTCCCCATCCCCCACGGTGCCTGGGATGTCACCCAACCCTGTCACCTGCTTCTTAAAACCCTCGCCCGGTTTCCCAGGGCACTTAACCAGATGACACCCCTTTTGCGCCCCCTGCCCCGTTCTTCGGGCCTCCCTGTTCCCGCCCTCCCCACGAGTAGGCAGGTGTTTCTGGGTTCAGAAACACCAGACTGTGGCCCCTGAGGGCAGGAGTCTGTTTTGCTCACTGCTGTATCCCCAGGGACAAAAACGGTGTGCACGACACAGAGCACGTGCTCAACCAACACTTGTCCAGTGGCCTAAGGTCCGGGACTTTGCCTTTGTGTCCCTGTCACCGAGTTGGGAAACCGAGGCCGCCCAGACAACAGAGTGACCTGTGGGGGGGGGTCAGGACCCCAGGGGCAGGAGCTGAGCACTGGGACAGGGACCGGCCAGGCTGGGGCCAAGAGCCGGGTTGGGCGGCCAGCGTCAGCCCCCCCAGGGACGCTTCCACCCCACCCAGCAGAGCCTTGCTCCCAGGCCCCGCTCCCTAAGGGTCTGCTTCCCCAGGGTCCGTCCCTCGGGGGACACTCACCGCCCTTGTCCGTCGGTGGCTGCAGGGAGTAGAGGACGCCCTGGGGGCCGTTCGGAGGGAAGCCCGGGCTGCCCGCTGGGCCAGGGGGGCCGGGGGGCCCGGGGCGCCCCGTCTCTCCAGGAAGCCCGCGGGGCCCTGGCGGCCCCAAGAGGCCTGCAGCAGGAGAAGAGGAGTCATGTGAGGGCCGGGCTTGGTAGCTGACACCGCCGGTGGGAAACAGGTCAGTGGTGGCCTCCAGACCAGTATCCCAGGAGGGCTGTCCTGGGATGTGAGTGAACATGGCTTTCTCTTCTGGCCTGGGGAGCACCGGGGCCGCTGGGTGGGAGGTGAGGGAGGCAGGGTCGCCCCCTCCAGAGGCCTCAGCTCTGGGGTTGGGGCACTAAGGTGGCAGCCAGCCTGGGCCGGCCCTATACCTGCCTTCACAGGACCTGTACCTTCCCCGCAAGACCCAGGGAGAGTTGGGGGGCTCTCTGGAGGTGTTGTTTCAATGACAGAGAAGAGTCCCCAGGCCCCAGCCTCCCCACCCCACGCCTGCATCCCCAGCTCCCGGAACCTTCTGTTCTTCCTGCAGGGTCAGCCCAGACCCTTAAGGATTTGGGATAGGGTCGGCAGTAGGGGTGCTGGTGGGAGGAAGTGAGCCTGGGACCCCCAGGACGGCAGTCATTGACCCCAGCAAGATCAGGGGTTACAGGGTGCCTCAGCTGCTCAGATAGGGGAGAAACCCCAGCCCCTTCCCCCAGTGGACAAAGTCAGATCTGGGGGGTCCTTACCAGGAGGCCCTGCTGGGCCCTTCTCTCCTGCCTGGCCCCGGTCACCTTTGGAGCCTGGGGGACCTGCAGGCCCTGGCGGTCCCGTCTGCCCTGGGGGCCCTGGGGAGAGAGTGAGATGAGCCCTGAGAACATTGTGGGCCGAGCTGCCATGGAGGGGCTCCAGGCCTGACCACCTGGGCCATCAGGTCAGACCTGCTCCCAGGAGCAGAGACCTCATTACAGTCTACAAATCATTTTTGTACCTATTAACTCCTACGATCTCAAGAGCTGCTTGTGTTCCCACTTCACAGGTGGGGAAACTGAGGCTCAGGAAGGTGTGGTCCCTTGCTCAAGTGCCCAGAGCCAGGCTGCGGATGAGTTAGGCCCCTCCCTCAGGAGTCCTACTGTCTCCCAGCTCAGGGTTGGGAACAGGGTATGTGGCAAAGACCTCCCCAACGAGGCCTCATCGGAGGCCCCAGGAAGCCCTAAAGCACACGGTTGCCCAACTCACCTGCTCTCAGGGATTTCAGGGCACACCCCGGTGTCACCATTTGTAGGGGTTGTGCCCCACCTGGTGGCCATTTCTTGGAACTGCACTTTGTCTGGTGAGGAGAAAGCAGCCCAGGAGACCCAGCGCCCCTCCCAGCCTCCCCCACCGGGGGTTTGGGGCCTGGGTCTTCTGACGGCAGGGAAGTCCCCCTCCTCCCCAGTTCCAGAAGAAGGATTTGGAAGAAGGCAGGCAGGGGCAGCTGCCTGGATGTGAAACCTTGGGAGGTGGGCCTGGGGACCCAGAATGAGATGCTCCCCCCACGCCTGAGCTCACCCCTCCTCCCACAGCCTCCAGCCCCGTAGAAGATCCCAGAGTGTCTGCTCCTCCCAAGATTGGCCACCGGACGCTCCCACTGCTGGGGGCCGTGCCCTCTGCCCTCCCTGCTCTGTTTCCTCTCCTGACTGGACAGGCACAGGCGGACGAGGTGAGGAGGAGACGGGGTGTGAGCTCAGAGCAGAGCCTGGGCAGGGGTGCTAAGAAGCTGGGGGCTCAACTTCGAGAGAGGCGAGGGAGGGAGAGCGTCACCCGCACAGGACTCTAGTGGGGCCAAGAATCATCGAGACAATATGCCCCTGGATCAGGGGCTGACCCCAGGGGTCATTTCTCTGGGCCTTGGTTTTCTCCTCCGGAACCCCAAGCGTTACAAACTTACTGGAATGATTAGAAATGACATCTGTGCAGCCGAGGGTGATATGAAAATATTTATTAACTAGCCCAGCAGTTAACCTCACAAGCAGAAAGTTCAGCAAGGACCCCCCAGAAGGTGGTGGGAGGCAGAAAGCTCCCAGTAAAATTGAGCCAGAAGGCTGCGGCTGGGCTGGGGGTCTGAGTGCAGATGCTAAGAGGCAGTGGGGAAGGGCGTGAGGACACGCACCCAACTGTGGGACGACACGGAAGGGTGAGGCCCTATAACGGTCTGGGTGGGGTCTGCAGGGGCAGCTGTGGCCCAGCGGCAGCAAATGGTTTCCATGAGGGGCTGAAGCCCCAAAGGTCAGAGCTTCTATTTTTCTAAGAGAAGCTTTCTAGAAATCCCGATTTTCATGCGAAACCCTACAGTTTTGAAACGTTAGCTCAGTTTTTCAAAATACCATGTGGGGGCACTCGATCCCAAGGGCCTATGGTGCAGGCCTTCACTCACCGGCTGGGCCCGTGGGCCTTCTCCTTCGGGGCCCTGGGTGGGCGAGCGGGATGGCATCAGGGAGGAAGTCCTCGTTCCAGGGCGGTAGGGTGCTCTGGGGGGCCGGCAGGTCATTGCCCGGGCCTGCGGGCTGCCCTGCTGCTTCCAGCAGAAGAACCTGGGCCGGAGAAGGGCAGAGGGTCAGGACCCCGGGCAGGCCAGAGTCCCGTGCACAGGGATGTATGCCCTATGAGACCTGCAGCTGCCCAAAGCCAGGTATGGGCGATCACCGCTCCCCCTGCTGACATGTTCCCCCCACCCCTGCCCTCCTCCTCGTTCCCATTTCAGGAGAGCCCCCCCCCGGACCTGGGGCTTCAGACTCCGTGTACTCTTCTTCTGGAACGGCCATCCCATGAGGCGAGACCTGTGGTCACCACCAACCCCCCACCCCTTCCCTGGCTCTTCCCAAAGGAGGGACTGAAAAGATACCAAAGGGCCTGGCTTGGGGCATGGTTTTTAGTAGGAGCTCTAGGAAAACAAAAGGTGGCCACGCGGGGCCAGCGTGGAAAGCTGCCCTGCCCTCTCCACTTGAGAGAGGTGGGGGTGTCAAAGCCTGGGAAGCCCCAGGGCCTGGGCGGGGACCCTGTCTCCCTAATTCAGGTGAGTGGGAAGCCAGGCCTCAGAGGCCCCCGGCAGTCCCTGCTGTTCCCAAAGAGGTCAGCAGGGGGCGCTGTGCACCAGGGATCTGAGCAAGGCTGTGGTGACGGGGGCAGAGACCCCCAGGAGGCCCACCCAGACGGAGAGGGGTCCCCAGGCCAGTCCAACAGAGCCTGGCTTCCTGCTCTGCCCACCGCGAGCCCCTAGTCTTTGCACCCTGATCTGCCCCAAGGGGAGGAAGTCTGGCGTCTCAGGTTCCCTCCAGTTCTTGGGAGCCAGAAGCCTGCATCTGCTAGATTCCCTGACTCCCCCGCCCCACGTCCAGGAGGGCCAGGCCTGTGCATTTGGCCTCCCCCAGGCCCCGGCTGCCTCCCCAAATCCCCCTGCCTGCCCCCTTCCCCCTCCTGGTGCCGCCCCCACAGGAGGGGGTGAGGACTCCATGCAAAGTGAACCTTGAGGAGCCCCACCAAACCACCAGCTTCCCGACACTTCTGGGCCTGCCCTGCTCTCCTGGGCCTCAGCAGTCTTGCTCCAGCCACCCTGAACTATACCCCAGGGCCCCTCCTGCCCTGACGCCACACCCCCTCCAAGCCCTTCCCTTCACTCCAGAGCCGAGCCGGGACAATCCTGAGACTCCAGTGACCCTTCCCCCTGCACCCCCCACCGGCAGTCTGTCTGACCCTGCAGACTAAGGGTGTCCCCTCCTGTGTGTGCCCTCAGGCCCTGCACCATCGCTTTGTGTCAACAGCCCGTGCGCCAACTCTCAGGGTCTCCATCTGCAGTGGGCCAGGGGCCCTGGTACCTGCAGCCCCCCCCCCCCCCCCCCCGCAAAAGGCCTTGGCTCGCTTCTTTGTGGGGCACCTCCTACGCAGACTCCAAGGCCCACAGAGCCCACAGACCTGGGCAGAGCCCCGGCCACGGCCAAGTTCGCATCCGCCCGGCCAAAGTCCAAGGCCGGGCCTGGCCACGGCCGGCCGACCTCCGGGAGAAACTGATCCCACCCCTGCCGGCATGACCTCACCAGGGCGGGCAGCAGTGGGCGTGGTGGTTCGACCCAAGAAAACCAGACTGTGGCCAGCCTTGGAAGCCAGTGGTCCTGATGACATCACTGCAGCCTGGCTGATTGGCCGGGAGGCCATCCTCCTGCCCCAGAGACCAGCTAACTCAAGGCTTCTGTGACCCTCACACAGGGAACCCCCCTCGGGCTCCCTCCCACGCCATGCGGCTGCGGGGTCCATGAAGTCAGAGTGTAAACTGAGGGGGAGGGGAGAGAGGAAGTCAGGAAACTTCTGCCTGCTGACCTTCCACCCCACCATCCCCCTACCGCCATCCGACCCTGTCCCAGGAAGAGGGTGGCAGGAGTCCCAGATCAGCTCTTAGGGCTGGGTCCTTTCGGAACTCAGGCACCAGCAGGGAGTGAAGATGGAGCAGACCCTGATGGCTGCCTGGCTCAGGAACCACCTATTGTGTACCTGTGGGTGTGCCCCAGAGGAGGATTCATGATTGGCCAGGTACCTATTTTCCCAGCTCCCTTGTGACTAGGAGGTGGGCAGATAGCCCAGTGCTGGCCAATGAGACACACGAGCCTGTTAGGGTGCTTTGCCATAACCTCTACTTCCTGCTTTTGAACAGGTATAAGGATGTGATGCCTTGAGCTGCAGCAGCCACTTTGTAACCATGAGGCACTAACCAGGAGGACAAAAGCCAACTCACTAAGGAGGTGGAGGGGAAGGCTGTGAAGGGCCTGAGTTCTTAAGCCACCAAACCAACCCCAAGACCACCTACCGCTGGACTCCTTGTCAAACAAACAATAAATGTCCTGAAAGAATAAGCTGCCATTGGCTGGGTGTCTGTAACTTAGAGCTGAACCCGTCCCTCCCAGCACACCAAAGCAGCCTTCTTGTCTCAGAGGGCAGAAGCCACAGTTTCCAGGCCTCTGGGTTGCTGCTTTCTTATGCCAGCCCTCAGGTTTCTGACGCCCCATCTGGGGTTTGCCCACCTGGCTCTCACTGGCCTGGCCACAGCCACTAACCCCATTCCATGGTCTCTCTGACCCTGGCAGGCAGGCGCCTGGCCTCAGCAGAGGCTGTCCTGGCAGCTAGGCCAGCTTCCGTCCCCCTCCCTCTCCAGGCCGATGCCTCTGAGGGCCCTGTGACCTGGGCTGATGAAGCACCCAGGGGCTCGGTTTCCCCAGGGGACATGGGCGTGTTCGCAGGCAGGGACACAACTGGTGGGTGACCTGGAGAAGGCACAGGAGCTGAGGCAGGAATCAGCCCACCCCTGACCTGGGGGTGGCAGCCACCTCTCCGCACAGCCCAGACTCTGACCACCTTCCCTTCTCTGCCCCAAAGCTCACCCCCGTATACCCACCCCAAAACAACCCGGTGAGGGGCAGCGAAGTGACTCCTTCTGTCTCCATTTCACAGGGCAGCAGACTGAGGCCCAGGGCTGAACAGGGACCTGGCGAGGCAGAGCCATTGCTGGGCAGGAAGCCTATCACGGGCTCCTCCAACACCTCCTGCTGCCCCCCTCCCGGGTCTGGAGAGGGGTCACGACCCTCACCTCGGAGCCAGGGAGCCAGCCCCCGCCCCCCAGAGCCCTGACTTTTAACACCCCGAGGTACTGGGCCGGGGCCAGGACGGCTGTCGGCTGACACTCTGCCAAACCACGCAGGGCCTCTGGTCTGGAAAATGTCCTTCAGGCCAGCTGGCTTGGGGACCCCTCCTTTTGTTTGAAATCTCGGGTGCCCCAGGGCCCCCCACCTTCCCAGGGCTTCCCCAGCCCCGGCTTGGCCCAGGTGGCAGCATCTCTTCCCTGAAGGCTTCCATGCCTGCCCCAAGGAGGGTACGGGGTCCCCCACCCCCAGCCTATGCCCAGGGGTCTGGGCTGCTGGGGGACCCTCCCACCTGCAGAAGGCCTTGGGGACAAGGGAGGCCATTCGCCCCCTGGGGCTTCTCATGCCGTGTGCTCTGCACAGGGTTCTCCCACACACCTGTGCCTTCACCTGTAAGATGGGGACGGCAGCCTCGAGTAGATGATGACACAGAGCCTCTCCTCGGTCCGGCACTCCCGTTCCCAAAGCCAGGTCCCACCACCATGTCGCCTGAGGTCCCAGCCACCCTCCACCCCCGCCGGCACATTGCACAGCTGTGGTGAGAGCTCGGTCCCACTTATGTCTGACTCCAAGGGACAGTCCCCTGCAGTCCCCATCCCACGGGGCAGGTGCCCTCATGGCTGAGCAATTTCAGCAGACACGTGAGGCAGGGCCCTGAGGTGACGGGAGACACAGCCCAGAAGTGTCTCCCACGGAGGGATGGTGGAGACAGCTGGCTTCCTCGACCCTTGGCCTGCTCTGCACTGTCTCTCCAAGGAGCCAGAGGGGACAGACTCCCCGGTGTCCACGAGGATAACCTGCCCGTCACCACACCTGCTTTGGAACAGGTCTAAGGATGTGATCACACAGCCTTCCCTTCCTGACTTACTCCCTGTCTCCTTGCCCCATGCTGCCTAAGGCTACTCCTCCGTACTCATCCTTTCTTCAGTCCTTCAGCCTCTGGGGTGACCCGCTCCGACCTCTGATGCAGCGGGGTGGGGGGGGGGCCGGGGGGCTAGCTAACAGGAACCAGGTAGTTCCTCCTCCATTGGCTTGTCTGGGCCCCGCCCTCTGCCCGACAGGGTGGGGACAGGAGGAGCCAGAGTTGGGAGCAGGAGCCCTGGGGGGGACAGGGGCTCCCTCCACTTTCCACCCAGGGGTCACCTTCTGGGCATCCAGGCCCCCCCCACCCCGGTCATTGAGACCCACAACCAGACCAGCCTGCTGTCCGAGACCTCCAGATTTCTTGCTTTCCCCACCCCGGGAGGCTGGCTCAGCCCAGAGAAGGCCACCCTGAGCCACTGAGGCCCCAGTAGCACCCAACCCCTGGGACCAGGCTGCTCGGGCCTGCTGGGCTCCCCAGGGCTAGGCTGGTACCTGATGCATAACCCTCACACACACCCGCCAACTCCCTAGGCCGGGCCCCCCAGGCCATCTGACCTTGGTCTCCAGCGTGGTTAGCCGCTCACTCATGTCGCTGAGCCGGGTACAGTTCATGCATTCTGAAAGAGAAGGGTGAACATGGAGTGTAGACCCTGGGGTGAGAGCAGCCAGCCGCCAGGACAGCCTCTGGGCCGGCAGGCGGGAAGCTCTCTGATCAGTCTGCCTGGAAAACTCTTACCCAGCCTTCAGGGCCTTATCCTCAGTGCCCCCTCCTCCAGGCAGCCCACCTGACCTCAGAGCACCCACAGCACCTTGTACTGCCCGCTTATTCAGCGAAGTGTCCGAGCCAGCACCCCAGATGCCTGGTCAGCCTGAGTGCCATGAGGGTGGGGTCTTTGTCTATTTTATTTGCCCACAAAGTAGGGGCTCAAAAAAATCCAATAACTGATAAATAGGTGGTAAAGGGGATGGGCTCCCTGCCTTTGAGAACTCAGTCTGGGGAGGGAGATGGGCAAATAGGTACAGGCCGGTAAGGGCTACGCTAGGGCTGGAAGAACAGAATGTGCAAAAGAGCATCATGGGGGAACTGCAATGCCGGTTTGGGGTGGGGGAGGTGGTGATCAGGGAGGACATCCTGGAGGCAGGGGCATCTAAGGGGAGGCCTGAGGGAGGCACAATGATGGCCCGGTGAAGAAAGAGGGCTGAGGTCTGGAGACAAGCAAGAGTGGAGAAGGGTCTGGCAGCAGGCTGGCCGAATCAGAGCAGACCCAGGGACCCCCCCGCATGCCCCCATGCCCAAGGGCGCCCCACATCCCAGACTGGAGTGGTGGGCTGGGGCCTAACACTGGAGGCCTGGCGGGAGGAGCTCTGGGCAGCGTCCTGAGGCCAGTGGGCAGCTGCTGGAGGGGCTGAAAGTCAAGGTAAGATCTGCATTTTTAAAAGCTCACTTGGGCAGCAGTGTGGATGGTGGGTGGGTGTGGGAGGGACGGGCAGCCGGAAGGCCAATTAAGAGACTGGTAACGGTTAACCCCCCAGGCCCACATCTCCCTGGGCTATAATTATCTATTTATGTCTGTCTGCCCCAGGGACTGGAGCTGTTTAAAGAGGAAATAGATGGTTCAAAGCTGTTCTCAAGAGCTTTTATTGCTCCAGAATTCAAGGGATGCCTAAATCTCTCACTCAGTTCACAGCCTGACTGACCTTCCAGGGACCTCATTCTGGACCATACAGACACACTGAGGTATGAGGGTAGCTCAGTAGGTCCCACCTGGTGTGCTGGAGCTGACCATCAGAGGCCCTGTGGCCGTGTTGAGGCCTGAAGCTCACCAACGGTGTCCATACCTGCCCCCACATCGGCCTCCCCTGTCCTCAGAGAGGTCCCCCAACTTTGTCTCGGAAAGCAAATCCCCTCATTAACGTCCCTGGGTTACAGTGGTGATTGCTCTGTGAGACACATGGGGGACGGCCAGGAGTCTTAGGACCAGGGTTTAGGCTGTGTCCTCCCCGGGGGTGCCCGGCCTCAGGGCAAGGGGGGCTGAGCTGGGGTCATCTGCTCACCAGCCCTAGTTGGGTTTACAAGATGTGCGCTGGCAGAGGTCCCGCTCACCCTCACCTCCCTCCCCGGCTCCCCTGGGCTGGGCCCAGTCAGTGGTTTATAAGCATTTTTTAAGAACAGAACCCTTTTTCCCCCTCAATAAAACCTTGTCCATAACCCCGAAACATAAAACAGATTAGAGACTGAGGTATAAACACTGAAGCTTCCAAACAACTAGAAGAATGTATACAGTTTCGTGACGGGGAAGGGGAAAGACTTCACAAAGGACCAGGGAGAGAGAGGGGGCGGGTTTTCTGCTTAAATGTGTGGGGGGGGTTGCTGAACCCACATGTTTCTTCTTCCTTTCTCCCAGGAAAGGGTGGTGGAGAAGGAAAAAGGGATAAAAATCCACAAAGCAAAGAGAAGGGCAGAGGAGAATTCTCAGCGGATGAGGCCAATAACGCAGCCAGGGGCCTGGGCCCACCTGGAAAGAGGGCATCAGAGCCTCCAGGTTCCCCTGAGGCTGGGACAGCACCAGGCAGGAGAGGTGAGGGGTCCTCTCTGGGACAGGGACACCCCTGAGGGGAAAGGCCCACAGGTGCTGAGAGAAACGGTGGGGTCTCCCAAGGCCCTCAGTCAACAAGGCCAAACCATAGACACATCCCTCTTAAAAACAGACAGCTCAGGATTCCTGAGCCTTAAAAGAAGTCTTTAATGGAAAGACAGAGATCAAAACAAATGGGGTCCCACTCATCTGCCCACTACCCCAACCCCATCTATCTACGTACCCTCCACTCATCCCCCCCACCGCCTACGTTACCCCCGACCCCACCCCCTCCCCCTCCCTCCACCCCCGCACCTCCCCAACCATGCTCAGGAGCCCCTTGGCGACCCTGTGCTCATACCGATGAGGTGGGTGGCAGGGCATTATGAATGAGGGTGCCTGTCCTCAGAGCGAAGGCCCACGGACCTTCCCCTCCTCTTGAGGAGGACTGGCCTGGAGGACTGTGAGAAGGGACTTTTCTGCCTGAGCCCCCGGCCCCCTCGGCGACCAGGAGGGCACCACCCCACCCTGGGGGCAGCAGGATGAGCACGAGGCAGGACGGATGTGGGTGAGCTGAGAACTAGAGCCCCATTCTGACCCAGTGAACATTCCTGAGGCATTTAGGGGCTGTGAACAGAGCATTTCCAGGGTCTGAGGCCACAGACAGGACTCTCTGCAGGAGGGGAAGTTCTGTGGAGGGAGGGGTGAGCCTCGGGCTCTCGCAGGAACCTATTTCTGGAAAGTGTGCTGGGCCTGGGCCCAGTTTACTCTGGCACTGGGCACGCCTCTTGGCCGGCGGGCACGGCGGGGCGGGGAGGGGTTCCGGTTCCACAGCCACAGAGAGGCCAGGAAGGTGCAGCCAGCGGGCAGGGGTGAGGCTGCCAGCCCGGCCTCCCCGTGCCACCTGCCTGGGCAGGCACTGAGACCAGCCGGGTTGTACGGTTCCCCTGGCATTCTGTCATCGACAAGCAATTATATTATGTTTGTTTAAATTTTTCTAACGATTCATGGGAGTGGTGGGGACAGAGAAATGGCACCGAGCGTGCTGACTGGCGTGCTGAGCGGCCCAAGAGGTTCCCCCTTGCTAAGATGAAGACTCTCACTTCCCGAGATTCGGAGGGTTCCCACAATCCCAGCCCCCTCGTAGCACACACAGGCCCACGAGTGCCCAGGGCCACAGCACGTTCCTGGTGTCTAGGATGCAGGAAATTGTGCCTGGAACTCTTTGCCAATATGTGTGTATCGAAGTGTGGATGTGCCAGGCAAACCAGTGCCTGGGGGGGTGGGGGGGTGAGAGAGAGAGAGAGAGAGAGAGAGAAGGACTCACTGCTTGGTGCTATTAGTAGAAAGAGAACTATAAGGCCACTAACTCACTGTGAGGCTGGAGAGGGCCTCATCTGACCTCTCTGCCCCTCAATTTTCTCATCTGTAAAAGGGGACTATATTGGATCAGCTCCAAGGGCCTCAGGATCCTGGTCCCTGTGCCCTCGCCCTCTGGCTCTCACCGCTGGGCTCTGTCCACCCACTGCCAGATGGTGCACCTGCTAATCCACCGGCCATCTGCCCTCAGCCAGCACAGCTACCACTGATGGTTCTGCACCCAGAATTCAGGACCCAGCTCCCGAGTGAGGCGACTCCCCAGGCCTGGGCCCGAAGGGGAGCCTTGCCGACTGAGGGAATTCAAGAGGCCAAGTGAGACCACTGTAAGGCTGGGACCACAAGATCCTGACAGAGGGGAGCGAGGGCACACAGGTGGCCCTGCCCCCAGACACCCAGCCCCCTCTGTGAGAGGTCTCAGAGATGGGTCCACAAGCAGGGAGCATGTGGAGGCTGGATGTCACCAGGAGGCCAAGCTGAAGAGATCCCTAAAATCCCCCTGGAGACCTTTGACTCCAGCCCAAACTCCTAAGCCCTGTTAGGAGAGCTCCAGGGAGGTCAGTGGGGTCAGATGTTGGGGGGCAGGGAGCGGGGCTGGCCAGGTGTGTTCACAGGAGACCACAGGAACGAGGAGGTCCTAAGTGGCCTCAGTTTCCCCAGTGTGACAAGAGCTGGGCTGGGCCTAGCACAGATAGGACTGGTACCTTTCTATCTTACTACACATGGGGTCAGCCCTGCTCCACCTGAGTTTAGTCTTGGGCCACACATTCTTTTGATGCCTCCCTCCTCCCCACTGGGGCCTTGAAGGCCATGTAGGACCTTCCTCTACTGGTGAGACCTTGGTCATCTCACTCTCTGCTGGAAACTGTTGTCAGGGGGGAAAAGTGCTTGTCCTGAGTAGGCCTAGATGTCTTTTGCCTTCTCACTCACACCATACCGGCCAGCCAGGCCACGCCCCTCTGACCAGGCCACGCCCCCTCCAGCCAGGCCACACCCCTCCGGTCAGACCACGCCCATCTGGCTAGGTCACAGCCCCTCCAGCCAAAGAGAGAAGACCTGGATGTACAGTGACTTTGGGACCAGTGCTAACTCCTGCACGGAAACCTATGAGAAGATGGGTCTGCCCGCCCGTGGGGTTCAGCTCCCAGTGTCTATTAGAGCCTCTAATGCAAAAGACAAAGACTGAAACAACAAACAGGAAAAAAGTAAGCTCAGAAAACAGACGATGAGTGGACAGAAAAAGACTTCAAAAAAGCAATATCCTCTAATATCCTTAGAGAGATATGAGAAGATACCGCATCCTGAAACAACAGGAGGTTATTTACAAAGAACCTTCAAATCACAAAAATGCGTTTGTAGAAATGGAAGAAAAATAGCCAATGTAAAATATTCAGTAAAAGGATTAGAAGATATGGAAATTTTCTAGAAAACTGCAAAAAGGGGGCTCTGACAGCTGGAGAGAAGAGATAAGAAAATTAGGGGATCGGGGCGCCTGGGTGGCTCAGTTGGTTAAGCAACTGCCTTCAGCTCAGGTCATAATCCTGGAGTCTCAGGATCGAGTCCCGCATGGGGCTCCCTGCTCAGCAGGGAGTCTGCTTCTCCCTCTGACCCTCCCACCTCTCATGTGCTCTCTCTCTTTCTCATTCTCTGTCTCTCAAATAAAT